TCATGATTGTCAATATGACGAATATGAGTAATACCTTACCAAGTGACCTAGAAAGCATCACTTTCAAACCCATTTCCATCGCCAATATTGTACATGTTATTGCAGTCAAAGTCTCCACTTATGACGCAGAGAATACATTATCCACTTTAACACCATAACCCGCCACAAAATTGTAGCGCAGAGAATGCTTTATCCATTTTAATCCCACAACCCACCACAAATTTGCCGCTGGAGTCTTACAACCAGACCAACGCCACCCTCTCTGTGGTCCCTGGCTTCCAAGCACCATCCACATTGATTTTGAGAGTGTTAGCATGAGGTGGCTGCCATGAAAAGATAAAATGTATTTACTTCTTATGATCCGCTTGGATAAGTTAACCCCTCGAGAACGTTTTACCATTTAGTCCCTCATTTATTTGGATAAATCCATATCCTCCATATCCAATCCTGGATTGGCCCTACTAATAGAAACCAGAATTTGTATCCCAAAAGAACACCAACCCCGGCGTACGGATAAATCCATTTACAATATAATTAAATATCTCTATGCAATGGAGAAAATATATTTTATATATTTTTATTCGAAAGGATTTTATATAATGTGCCTTCCATTTACAATATATTTTTTTTGTAAATTTTTTTTGTTGTTTCAAAAGCAATAATCAGAATATTCTCATTAATAGCTCACAAAGGACATATAACAATAATTGATATTGACACCTAACCATCATTCATGTTATTGGGAAAACAATTACATATATATACCTTATCTTTTGTTTTTTTGGGAAATTTGCATAAATACCACCTGAACTTTGAGATATTTGAGCCATTGTCACCTAAACTTTTAATTTAAATTTTTAACCACCTAAACTTTGTGGAGTGTTGCAATCCACCACCTACGTTTAATTCCGTTAACATTGCCGTTAAATGTAAGAACATTTTCCTCTGTCACTATAATTAAAAATAATTTTAAAACAACATAATTTTAAAAAATGAAAAAATAAAGTTAACCTAACTATCACGAATGTAAAGGCATGTAATGGCAAAGCAGGGTGTGTGCAGAATAGAGTTGAGCACATATTAGCATCAATGGCCAATTCGAGGGTGAAATAGAATTGATGGTGTATCAACCCCCTCCCTCACTGTTCCAAGTTCTTTCTATTGATGGCCTTCTTGGCCCCCCTAGTTTTTTTCTATTGTGCCCTCAAGCATCTTCATAGGCTGGGAAGAGTGCTTTTTTCCCTACTGGTCTAGTCGAGGTGTTGATGCTTGAGGTGTTTTGATGTGTATCGGATGCTTTTATGGTTATCTGTTACGTATTTTGTTTGGCTTGTTTTAGCCTTTTGAATGATATTGATGGTGTATGCACAACATTGGGTTGGGGGAGGGGTAGACGAATTGGCGTTGGTTTTTTTTCTTTCCAAGATCCATGAAAACCATATGAAGAATTTGCCTCACTTTTTTTTATTTCCCAAGATCTATGAAAACCATAGCTCCACTTTTTTCAAATCTTCCAAGAACTATGAAAATCATGTGAAAACTAAGAGCGACTCCAGCGGTATGCCTGAGCCTCGGGCTGGGCTTGCTTTTTCGAAAAAATCGTTTCCAGCGATTAACTGAAGCCCAGGCTGGCTGCGGGTCCCACGAACTCGGGCTGGCACGAAGGCCAGTTCAGCCCGAGGTCCAAAACACGGGCGCTGACGTCATGCGTGCTACAGTGACCCCACGTGCTACAGTGACGCTACAGTGCCATGCACTACAGTGCCGCTAAAGTCCACGTGTCGCGCTCTGGGCTCTCCGATCAGATTTTTTTCTCCAATCCAATGGCAGCCAATTTTTGTGCAATAAAAAATATAAAAAAATCAAATTTTTTAAAAAAAAAATACCAAAAAATTACTGATTTTTTTTATTTATATAAATACCAAAATTTTATCCGATTGAGATATGAATTTTATAATAAATATTGACACGTACGAACCCAAAAATCTTATCCAAATGAATTGTTTAGGTAAACAAATTTGTGAAAAAAGCAAAAAAAATGAATAGTAATTGCCCTTTGCCATGGCAATGGGTGGAAACACACAATACTATTTGCAAGGGCAGCCACTATTCACGTCCCCCCTTTCCATGGCTAAGGGCAAATGGGTGGAGTTGCTCTAAGGCCTAAATCTTTTTGTGTTTTATAACCAACCAAAATCTCATATTTCTTCCAATTTAGAGGGGTATATTCAATTGGGATTTTAATTTCACAAGTAATCTAACTCCTCATTATTGTTGGTGATTGATATTTTTATTTCTTTTTCTTTTTAAAATTTAGTTTTTTTTATAATTTTCTTTAAGTGCGGTGAATTGACTGAAATACCCTTGCATTTAACAGAAACTTTAACGGTGTTAGACATAGGTGGTGGATTGCAATACTTTATAAAGTTCAGGTGGTTAAAAATTAAAATTAAAAGTTCATGTGGTAATGGCGCACATACCTAAAAGTTCGGGTGGGATTTATGCAAATTTCCCTTCTTCTTTTTTTTATGATAAGTGATAAAATATTATTAATGTAAAACAACTAGTACAACAAGTCTGAGTTCATATCAAGGACAAATGAAAGTTCCTTGATTACGAATTACAGTTCTCATACAATACATCATAAATAAAATAAAATTTGAATTGTCACTACAACGAATATGGGTAAAACCTTCTCTAGTGACCTTGTGACCATCACTTTCGAAGACTAACATTTTAAAAACCCATTTCCATGAGGATACATTATTCATTTTAACCGCACAACCCGCCACAAATTTGCCGCTTGAGTCTCTCACAACCACCCCAACGCCACCCTCTCTGTGGTCCCTGGCTTCCAAGCACCATCCACATTGATCTTGGGAGTATTAACATGAGGTTGGTGGCTGCCACTTTTGTTCTGCTTGACTATGCCCACTAATGTGACCCTAAGAAATCATTAACCCGCAAAAAATCCTGTAGCCACAAAGATGCACTCAAGCCGACTTGGTCAGGCCTAATAGCCATCCATTACGTGTTTCCCATTCCCAAGTCATGATAACTGAGTGAATTTGCACATCGCAACACCCAATCCTTGGGTGAATAAGCATCATTGTCCCATTCCACCCGCGGTTGCTTGATATCGGACTACGCCAAGCAAGTCACGGGGGATATGGATTGTAGATTCTGTTGGGCCCCCACATAAAAGGCATTCCTCGTTTATGGGCCCCCTTACCATTGGTTGATCTTTTGTATTTGTCGAGGTAATCACATCCTCTATTGAAAATTATGGGTGAACTACATAAAAGTATCCAAATTTTAAGGGTCGTGCTAAATTAGATAGAACGATGTAAGTAATGGATTAACTAATTTGTATGTTTTTCGTGAGTTAAAATACCTACGTATAAAATTTTAAAGATTTGGTACTAATTTGAAACGACCCTCAAAAGTTGGTTAATCCAAATTATTGGTAATGCTACATTTATCATATTTTTATCTCACATTTTCATATCATCTTATGTGGCAGATGAGATGGATATCCACATCAATAAAAAGATGATAAGGTTTTCTTTTTTGGTTAGAAGATTGTGATGTTTAACTACCGTTCATGTTAATAGATAACCATGTAATAGCTTGTGAGAATGGTTTCTTTTTTGGTAGGAAGAAGATGTGATAGGTAACTAACATTAATGTTATTTTAAGTAATATATATTTTCTTGCTTGGGAAAAAAAATACACAAATATGTATATGCCTTATATCATCTCTTTTTAAGTTTTAATATATAACCATGTAAAAGATTGTGAAATTAATTTCTTTTTCCTTAATAATAAAGTGTTCCTTTTCTTGTAAAAAAAAGGGGCATTTAGATTTAGGTGCCTCCTATTCATATTTCTTAGACTAAAGATATATGTTTTTTAGAATTTTGATTCAACGCTCCCTTACAATTGTGTTGCCATATACATTTTTGGTATGTTTCCTAACCCGTAATTAGATTAGGAAGAATTGAATTGATGATAAAATGAATTGAGGAGGAGTTGGATTGAGGAGAATTAGATTCCGGATTCATATTAAAGATGTTTACTAAACTATATGGATTGAGGAGAGTTAGATTATGGATTTCCATTGAAGTTGTTTACTACACCATATGAAATTGGAATGAGGAAATATTAAATAATGAAACAAGTACAAAAACCAAGCTATGTCCTATAGTATATCTACACCTATAATTTAATTACTAACAAATAAATAAGTAACACGAATAATCTCTCAAGTAACACTTGGCCAAGCTATCTTCCTCAAGGATGCTCTCTTTTGTCTGGGTTGACCGACCCCCATCCTCTCTGACAAGCATTCTAAACAAGGATGGCCTACCATGCCCACCGCCCCAAAATGATTAGACTGATGCTGGTTGGTTTGTGACAACTTAAGACTTTTTGAAGCAGCGTCTCTTTCTTTCCAATCTATATCCACAAGCTATGTTCATTTTTGATGTTTTATTTGCCTGTAGTCCCCTGTCATTGGACTCCTGCCTGTTTGTTTTTGGTGGTTTGTTTGCGCCCTGGTTTTTATTCAAGTACTCGTTTGTCCGCCAAAAAAAAAAAACAAGGAAAAAAAACTCTCAAAATCTAGGTACCCTGCATTTGAAATTACCAATCAGTCCAAATATCCTCTTGGTTCGCAGAATTCAAGAAGTGAATTAATTAAAGGATTATAGCTGCAATTTACTCTTTTTTTTAAATTTAAATATTTTCAAAAATAATGAGAATTGACTATGAATAATTACTGAGATTTGACATGAATGATATGCATATCATCTTGATTTGTGGTTGGCACCGACACCCAACTACCGTAAGAAATAATAAAAGTTGAAAATGAACACGTTCAGATTAACACGTTTCGACTTTTATTCATCTATGAAAATGAAATGTTGCCATTTAATTTCCCACTTTTGTTTTTTCGGTTATCCTTGCCATTTAATTGAAAATCAATAAGAGATGTGCAGTTGGGTGAAGATTACTGGTTATAACTTATAACATAATGGATGTCTGGTACATAAGCAAGATTATTGTTTACGTAATTAGGGTACAAGGAAGATGGTAAGCAGACTTGGACTTTGAGAACTCTTTGTATAAGCCATCATTTATCCAAGCTATGAACTTCCAACTGCTATATCATTTACCTGTTGGAACAAGAACAATACATAATATTCAAACCAAATTCCACAAATCTTCAGTTTCTACGTACGGCTCGATGATGAAAATTAAAACCATACAACTATTTTAAATTGAAAATGGTTACCAAGTTATACAAATAATACAATAAATTCAAATTTTAACCAACAAACAGTTTTAAGCACTCCGTTGCAAACTTGTTAGGGATCTTATGAAATCACTAATTCATTCTCAAACTATTACAAGAGATGACATTTAGACAAATGAAGAGGAACATCACTTACCATGGTTCTGGCGCACAGTGGTGAACCTGTAGATGGCTTTAATTAGGGAACCATATCTCATAGAGTTCAAATGTCCCATATGTCTGTAAAGCAAAATATGGGACACAATCAGTTCAGAAACAAAATCGGTACAAACACAATACATCAAGGAGAAGCTTCTGTTGCAAAAGTTCCCAGAAAATGTACTGCAGAAAAAAAAAACTGCACGAGACAAAGGAGATAAATGCATACACACACAAACACATGTATATATGTATGTATTATACACAAATCAGCTGGCTCAAAACTAACAATTTTTTTTTTTTCCTGTTCTGGCCTATTTTTATGGTTAGATTGGTTACTCCATCTTTCCCTGCACCATGGCTTTGTGGTTTAAGTTTCACTAGACATCAAGTAGACATATATAGGAATATATGCAGCTAACTGCATCACACATCTGTCGAAGAACACTCACACAATCTCAGTATATCGAATTCTCCATGCAGGGAAACCAAGGTGGCATCTTGCAGGTCCGTAAACCAATAGGAGGTCAGGGTCTGGCCCTCTACAACCTGAAAGCATATTACCATAAACACCTGTAAGGTCAAATTGAATTGTGCAGGTAACCATTATTGTAGACAATTGAGCATCTGACAGTAAAACATACTAATAGCTTTTAGTGCCTCATCCATGTCAGGTTCTGTAAAGATTTTCTCTTCATGATCTCCAACTGATTTGGCCAACTTCAAATACTTCACAAAAAGTAAGTTAGCTGCTTTGGTTACAGCTTCTTTTCCATCAGAAAATGAAGAAAATTCCAGAGACATGCGGTTTTGATCGACTAAATCTTCATAAGCCTGCACAGCATGGATGTTAAGTTAGGTATACACTTTGGCATCATCAATAATGCATAACTGTCCATTGTGAAAGGCACAAATCATTTATCAGATCTATATAATTAAAGAAAAAAAATACTACTTTGCATAAACTTAACCCTCACTCGCCCTACGTCAGTAATCTAGTGGTGGACTACCAATGTATGCTTTATATAGGAGTCATATTAAAAATATAAAACAAAAATTAAAGGCAATTGCTTGGTATTGGTATCAAAAGAAAACTCTGTTGGTCTCAACACAATCCTGAATTCTAGATACACCTAGAATGGAAGATTGATCGTGACAGCCTGAACTGCTTCCCAGTATGCTAATTAGTTAATTTACGGTGGAGAATTGTGGAACCAGAAAGTAACTCGTAACTTTACTGTAGGGACAGAAGACAACACCTTAAATTCGCTTGCGTTTTTCAGTTTATTCAAGATGGCTTCTTTTGATTTCTTCAACACTCCTGGACATCAGAAAAGTCAAATAATTATACAAGATTTAAATACATATGTTACATTGTTGCATACCAATAGTAGAAAGCGTCTGACATCAATCAGGATAGCAAACCACCATTACCTTCTGTATCGTAGAGGCACACACGCTTCACACCAATAGCTTCTAGCCACTGCAGCAGCTCAATTACTTTTGATGTTTGGTAAGCTTCTTCACTTTCTATCACAATTGCCAGGTACCGTAGCTTGGCCAAATTAAGGGCTTTGTAGCTCTTGAGTACTCCACCAGAAATAAGATAGCTTTGAAGCACATAAGCTAAACCCAATAGAAAGTACCATATGCTGACAAAAAGGTGTAGAATATGCCATAGGAGCAGAAGCCCGAGATTGCCAATCTGCAGCAGCCACAACGCAGGATCAACATTGACTTTAATATCAAAGTAAGTAGCATATGAAATGAATGAATATCGATCAGCCATAATCATCCAAATACATGGCTTTTCTGATATTACAATAAATGGCCCAATAATTCACAATCCATTACCCTCTCAAAAAGCTTGCAATCTTTTCACGCTCATAATTTATTTTAAAAGTTTATTACCTACATTAAAACTCATTTCCGATTACATGAACAGAGAAACAACATCAATTACACAAAGCCATCATCCAAAGAATAAAGCTTCAACGAAGCCTTCTTTGCACTACTTGGTGAGGTAGAAAACAAACTCAAGGTTTCCTACTTTCCCCATGCCAATTTTAAAGAACAACCTCGCTATAATGTACAGATCAAATTCAATCATATTCGTTTACTTCATTATGCCATATGAAGGTGCTTCAACTATGTAGAAGACAATAAGAAATAGGCCCTTTCTTATATGGACTACAACAAATATCTGAATTTAAAACAAAACACAAAGTTGAACTAATTAGTAGGTCAATAAGCACATTTAAAAGCTTGTCAGTACCATTTTTTATGATCACACCAATCTTTTACAGTGACTATCCTATTGTTTGCCTACATGACCATTTTAGTTAGATTGATTATGTTTCCAAAAATAAATTGAAACATATAGACTAATTTCTCTTTTGTGGGCTAAAATCATCTAGAGCAAAGCCTCAACCTCCAACCAGGAAACACCAAATGAACAACCATCCAGCAATCTAATTACAATGTAAAAGGAGTAAACTTCTAACGGGTAATTTGCGCTGGAAATTAAAGAGCACAAGATATGTATCAGTCCCTATGTTGCACCGATACGGATACAGGTACTCCGATACGATACAATACACCGATATCCGATACAATACATCGATACAGCAAATCTCCAAAAAGTAGGATATAGGTACTGCACCGATACGGTAATTAAAATAATATAAATATATAAACATATATATGTAAAATTAGCATTTTGGGCCTTTTCTTTTGGTTCGTTATGTTTTTCTAGGCCATATGTGACTTGTTTCAGTTATTGGGCTGGGCCCGAATGAACGCATCAGACTTAAAATTGTATAAAACAATTTTTTTTAACATAAGCCATCTAACATGCAACTAAAACGGTGCGTATTGTAATTAGGGCACCTAACATCATCTTCTTCACTAATTAGCCGCCTCTTCTTCGCACAGCAACTGAAAAATCGCAGCAGCTGCAAGCGCAAGTAAGTTCTTTTCTTCTTCATTCTTCCTTCTTCCTCCTTCTTCTTCTTCTTTTTTGGTTGCCGTCAAAATTGTCCCTTGACGTATAGAGACCGTATCGCGAGCGTATCATGACCGTATCGATGGAGTATCGGAGCCGTATCGTAAAGTCAACATCCCCGTATCGGCCCCGTATCATATTGGGGCCGTATCTGATACGGGCATACCCCCAATTTTTGGTGTATCGGTGCGACAGAGGTTCAGTCCAAAGCAAAAGATACCCACTACGCAAACATCACAGAAGAAGAAACTTATGCACTTACTTGAGCAAAGGAAGCCCGCTGCATATCAATCCTCAAATCCATCGTTCTGAAAAAAGAAAAGAAAAATTCGATTGAACCCCAACAATTCAATAACCCAAATATTAAAAGGGTAGCAATAAATTCAATCAGAGAATCAAGAAATCATCAGAAACTAATCTCGCTTACCAGAAAGAAATTGGCGAATATTGGAGTGAGAGAAA